AGGGGCGCCGTAAATAGGTCTGTTCACATGATGCATCTTGTTGGCGAATCTTGTGTCGCGAAACTAGGTTTCGAGAAACAGATTCCCCGTCTGAACGCAACCGAAAAAGTGGCGCACCTTCGAAAAAAGTGGCGCGTGTTTCTCGCTTCTGGAGCAATTTTTCGCTGAAACCTCACCGACGCCCGTCAATCTCCCGAAGGAGAAACGCGGACGCTGCCAATGGCCGCTCGACTTCGCTATGGCGTCTGACCTTCGAGGAGGAGCGAGCTTTTGGAGGAGTCTGATTTTGGGCCGATTCCGTATCCGAGCCGAAGCCGACAGAAAACAAAACAAACATGTCGAGCGACAAGCCCCCATTGCCCCTATGCGACAAGCGGCGAAGCGGTGCATACGGGCGACGAGTCTTGGTCCTACTCTGTTGCAGGTGTGTGAACGGCGCCTACAGTACGGATTGGGGGAGCGGTGCAGATTCGTCAACAGTCGCGGCGGGTGCAAGCACTATATATAAACATGATGACTGGGGATAACGTTCTTTATTAGCGGTGCAAAAATGTCCGAAATGTTTCGAGATCATCTCGCGGTTTTTCCCAGGTTTGGCAGGACTAGTAAACCCGTTGAGCTGAATCTGACGAAATTCATTCAGTGGCGTTAATAAAACAGGCTGTCTCTTCACACTGTGCGTACTTCATATCATTTGGATGCGAGACGCCTAATATTCCCGGTGCAGACAAGGTTTGACGAAATTCTCGTGAGTCAATACGTCACAGGTTTCGCGCGTCAAACTCCACGTGTGAACAGGCCGATTTCGCGAAATCTTGGTTTCGCTACACTGTGGCCCGTTGAAGACATACATCGTTTGAATAAGCCTTTAAAAGTAAAAGAGGGTGAATACAGTTATTATTTTAAGCACAGGAAATAAATCTGTATATCAGAACTAGCACCGACGCGCTATTTGCTTCGGGTGCAATGCAGTAGGGAGTAGATTTATTGATATTTTTTTATAACACTCATTTCATTGTGTAATGAGTAAACACAAAAGAATCGCTACTGATTGGGTAACGATAAACCTCACTTGAATTTGTAATGAGTAAACTCGAAAGAATTGATATTGATTGGGTAACGATAAACCTCACTTGAATTTGTAATGAGTAAATTCAAAAGAATAGATATGGAGTGGGTAATGATAAAACTCATTTAACGATGAGTTTCTTATGAGTTTCATTTGACTCTATAAAACACATCAGAAGCTCAATTGAAACTCATTGTTCATTTTTGTAAGGGAAAAGGAAAAAGCCTTGTCTTCTAGGTGGTACTGGCTGTACTCGCTCTCCTATTCCTGACCGGCCAAGCTGCTCCATGCCCGGACCAGCCTTCCAGATTTGTACCGCGTGTTGGAAAAGACCGCAAGGCCACGCGAACTTTTCGCGCTCCACCTTATTGGGGTAGAATTAGAGCGACTAGCTATAGATACGCTTAGAGTATCGGCACTCTATACCCCAAGATTTCTTATGAGCACCGCCATTTTGCAGCTAGGTGAAGAGAGGGGGCAATGGAATCGATGATACTAATTCCTTTTTGAAATACTAACTTCCTATATTTTAAGTACGGGTTCAAGAAGCTCAAAAGGTGTTGTATCGCTCTGCCATCGGACTGTTCTTACATCTCTAGAAGGCGAAAAGACGTTCTGAGATACTTCAGAGGAAGCTTCAGGTAACTGGCAACACTGATTTCAAGCACCAAGGTGGCTCAAGTGTCACTACTCTGAAACAACTTATTTCTTGTATCCAGGCAGAAGAGAGGCCCACCGCGAAATCTCGACGGCTGACTGCCTCCCTAAAAGATCACGTTTTACATGTTCGTACTTGTCTAATTAAATATAAATGCAGTTTCTGGTGTTTAAAACCGTTAGCTCCTGAATAGAGTATCCGGATTAAAAAAAAAACAGTGCCTAATACCCCACAAAATATCAAATCAGTGGCAAATATTTATTGTAAAGTAGGACAGTTTCTGCCTAACTTTTACAATACCAAATATTTTTTTCGTTCAAAATGTGACATCTAGCCGCAACTACATTGCTTCCACGAAAAAACAATTCTTCCTAAATCTATTACTAAAAGCTGCGACACCCACGATTTTCCCTTATTTTGAATTAATACTAGTGTTATAAAGGGTTGCAGAACGTGGAATCGCACAGTGCTACTGTTTACCGTTCATATATGGGCGGATAATATTTAGAAGAATACTCGTCAACGGATTATGACAAATATGAGCTGAATAATATTAGATGTGAGGGAGAAAATGTCGACAACAATCCAGCGTATGTGGTGGACAGATTTGGTACCCTGCATGGCACACCTCTCCGAATGGCGTTTTTACCACTTCTAAACTGTGGCCCCTAGAATCTCCCTCCGATGACGTTATAGAAGTGTCATGTGGCCAGAGCCGTGTATACAGAGCGTTTGGCCAATGGGAGGCGCGGGCAGAGCCAGGGCGTGCACCAGACGCAGAAGGTGGGCCTGACGTGCTCTCTTGGTCAACCAGAAGCCTAAAAGAATCCCCTAGCGGTGGTACCGAGGGACTGTTTTAATTAAAGGTATGTTGGTATATGATTCTAATAAGCCCGTAAGAGTAAAGTGTAATAACCTTTCATGGTTGAAAATAAGGTGCACGTGATGTTTCAATTATGAGCATTCAGAAAGATGTAAGAAACGAATGCGCTGCTCAAGTCTGTTTTGCTCGGACAGAGTGTGACCGCTAGGACTGCAAATTCCCGGCCCTCGGAGCTTGACGTACGAATTATGTCGATCGTTCCGCTAGCCGCGCTGTTCCACCATGATTTTGGATGACCGTGATTGAAACATCACGCGCATCATATTTTCAGTCACCAAGAGTTACTCTGACGCACCTATTAGGTTTGTTTGGCGCGACTACCACCAGGGTAATATTTCGGGCTTCTCGTTGGTCACATTCGAATTTGTGAAGACGCTCTGAAACACGCCCAGCCAGCTTTTAGCCAAACTCTCTACATATGCGGCTCTGTTTGTAGCATGGTGTACTGCATTTCAACACTGCATTGCCATCATGACTCTTCGAACTTATTAAAGAAAAAAGATAATCATTAAATTTTAGTTAATTAGCCTAATGATCTAGATTTGCTTTGATCAGGGTGTTGAATGAAGGCTATTTCAAGATGGGGGCTATTCCAAGAGAAAATTGAAATAATGTATCAAGTACGAGTGATATTTGTTCCGTCTCTCCGTGTTTATGCGACAAATGATGGCAGTCACCGGCCAAGTCGGATTCAAAAATAAGACTGCCATATATAGAGAGAGTGAGAACTTAGCGTACGTGGAGAGGGGGGAGGGGTTGGTGTTGCTGCGTTGTTGCTGTTGCGGGGTGTTCTGCTTGTGTTTCCTGTATTCTGTGGGTTAAGTGTTGTGTGTGTTTTTATCATGTAGCGTTCAAGAGTGGGGGACACCGGAAAACAAATTGGCACTTCACCAACATTTTTGTTTTTCTGTTTTAAGCGCCATCTGGTGGAAGCTATGTGTATTACACAAGGGGAGAAAGTTTCCTCAACTGGGCAAAAAAAGGTGGCGATTTTCCTCCTTTCTGAAGGGAGGAACGTTTTCTACACGAGCAAAAATTGGTGGCAACTTTCCTCCGTTCTTAAGGGAGGAAATTTTCTCCCGTTTTGTTGGAGGAAATTTCCTCCTTTTATAAAGCAATATAGACGAACACGCGGCCCTGACGTCATAGAGTTGCGGTGGCGCTGTCGGCGGTACTGCGCATGCGCAGGCGCTTCACTTCACGCGAATTCGGTTTCTGCGCACGCGCAGTGCCCACACCTGGTGTGGGCAAACGCGGGGTTGTTTGTAAACAGCGTGTCGGTCTATATGATACACGCGAGTTCCTCCTTTAAGGGAAAAAGTACTACTCCCTTATTTTTTGGTGCATATCTACGGCGACGTTGGGACGGCAACAGCCGACATCGCGCGACCACGGTGACTGGAAGGCAGGGACCAAATATAGTTTCCCACGGCCGTTGCTTTCAGGAGCGAGTGCTTCAGCTCACAAAGTAACTCACGCCGCGCAAAAACGTGGTTTCGTTTCACGGCATGACGGCATGGCTGGTACCCGGCACTCTGCGTCGGAGCGTCGGCACACACCCACGTCTATTGTTGAAAACATTTTTAAAAAACACGTGAGACGAAACCCACGAGACGATGAGAGCGCGAAACGTGTGACGGCAGGAAAACCAGGCAACACTGGATGAACGCGTGCTCAATTGCTTTATTCAGTTTAGTTTCGGTTTTCAATGGCCACCGAAATTGGTGTTTTGGCGAAGGCTTGGCGCAGATTACTCATATTTTGGCAAAATGTAGCAGAATGTAGCAGGGTTAGCCACTTGGCGCAGTTTGGCCCAGCAGTCACATCACTGCATTTCAAGGCTCGCATCTGTCATTCCCACCAGCTCCTTCTTGTTGACGATGCGGAGTTTCGAGAACACGCGCTCTATAGTTGCGCTAGGCACGGGAAGTCCCAAATGTTAAAATAGGCTTGGGAGAATACTGGCCAGTCTGGTTCATGCAAGTTCCGGACACGCTTCGACCCAAATATTATGAAATACACTTCAAACCACCCAAATAGGATCAATAGGGACCACAAAAAGGAGAGTAAACGTCAACGGGGCGATCTACAAAACAGCGCACGGAGGACACATTTGTGAGAACATAAACTGACGGTCAGAATAACCAGCACCCACAGAAAAAAAAAGAAGAAACATCTCTATTACTCAGAGACGTTGACACACCTAAAACCACGACCGTAAAAAAAGGAGAAAAAAAAGAGAAAACCAAAAGAACAAATTTGACGAATTCGATTGTACCGATAGGACTACTGATATGCTTGCACCACTAGCGTAAACAGTACGAACAGTCAGTGTCTCAACTTTATTTAGCCTGGTTTAGTTTTAGGGGTTTTAATCAGAAATTCCCCTCCTAATTTTTCTTTGACTTGCTATGAAGTATCTTAGCCTTCTTCTGTTTCTTCTTTTTTTGCTTCGGCCCTTCAGTCTCCACAGGAGTATAATCAGTGTCGGTGGGCACACCTGAATTAGTGTTCAAATGACATTCTCCGTTTTGACATGATCCTCGATCACCATTGTTGTACTGAAAATAAGAAAGAAAAAGAGAGCATACAAATTTCAAATATATATGAGAAGTAATTTTCGGTAACAGAACAGTTCAAGGTATGAGATCATATTATTTCAAAACTTTTCCACTGAATGTAGCCGTAAAATGTACCCGCTACGCTTAACAGAACACATCGTGCAATAAAATTAGTATCAAAACGCTCCACGAGATATGATTTAATGCAAAGTCATATAGTGTTGGATTTTCGCTGCTCTATTTATCAAAAAATGTACCTTACGTACTTAATGCTTAGTTGAATTAAAATATAATATGAGTGTAGCTGCAAGAGATAGTACGGTGGCGATTGGAAAAAGCATTTTCAAGGTGACAAACAAGATGTTGCCTCATTATAAAATGTTTAAATTCCAACAACTCGTGCTCAAATTTATTTAAATAATTCCTGTTGTGCGGCACAGGCAGAGCAGCTAAACAAAGCAGTCATCTAAACTTTTGCCGATTTTTATTGTGATACCTTATTAACCTTAATAAGCCTTAGAAAAGGAAGCCCGTCTCATGCCGAAACTAATCTTTTTACGGCTACATCCCTTATTGGCGAGTTTTCGCAGCGGATCCCGCTTCTGTTTCTTGTAAGGAATACAGCGAAGGGGCGTGACCCGCAAAATGAGTGGTAAGAGATTTTGGCTTGATTCAGCACGAAATTACGCTATCATACGACGCGTTGACGTCACTTAACACTTTGACGTAATCCAGCTAAGTGTTTCAGCTAAATTGAACGAGGAAAAATTGCAACATCATAATGATGGCAGGTCACGGGAAGTCGTGTAAAGCGCTTTCCTGCGATGTATATCTCAGAGTTACTCCCCTTATATATAGCGGAGAAACTAACCTCACCTTATGCTTTGGCGTCACGTGAAGCGTTTCCCTTCTAGATTTGGGGGGAAACTTTATCCAGTATATACAGCATGATACTGAATATCGCGTGGCGTCACGTAACACTACGACCCCTAATGACGTTACTTGAACATGTGAGATCAGACATGGTATTTCACAATTCCAGGTATCTTCACATTACTTGGCCATGTAATGTATTCAGCTTTGCTAAATTTTTAATTTCGGTGAATAGTGCTTGCGCACGAACCCTGCGCTGCGGGGCGTGCAGCGCCTCGCCTGTCGGCTCACTTCATTTCTAGGACACGGCAAGTTGCCTTAAATTTGTTTCGGCTTAAGAGGGGAATTCAATGCTTTCATGTTACGTAACCTATTTGCGTGTCTTGACATTGAAAATTCACCGCGCACAGACTAAGAATTAGAACCATATAAATATAATACTTCCCAGCCACCTTGAGGTTTATTATGTGGGGTGCCATACAAAAAAATTGAAATGTCGCCACAAGCTTGGCACTGAATAAACTAAAAAAAAGACAGCAGCATGTACGAGTCTCTTCATGTACCATACCCTAAAACCGCTATAGTGAAAATGTTTGAAAATACAAGGAATTTGACTAGTTACGAGAAAGGCATACATGTAAAACCTATGACCCGAAGGCGCGGGAGCTCGTACGTGTGTTAACTATATTAGGCTTGCTACTCACAAAGCATGTTTCACCGTTCTTGAAGAAAAATTGGTCCCATGAATTGGTGTCAGTGTTCCAGCAGTAAAAGTCGCAGCCTTCTCTATCTTGCTCCTATAGAAAGAATTAACAGGATTAAAAAAAAAGTAAAGTAACATTTGCTAGAACTTGTTTACTCAATGTACATCGCGTGTTAGTGATTTACGAAATAAATATTAATTTGCGAACGCATTTCGCTTCATGTTAGTGCTTCAGAAACATTTTGACAGATAAGGGGATAGGACATATTAGTCGCTCTTATTTATAGATTCAGCCACGAAATGTTTCCAAACGTGTAATGAAGGAACTTTTACCGATGTGGGTCTCGTTCCGTTCTTGCAATTGTGGGCTGCAGCAGTCCCGAAGAAGGCCAGAGACACTGCAGAGAATAAAAAAACACAAAATTTAATTCAACAAAAGCAACGCTTAAAAGATTTATTTAATCTTATTTGCGTTCAGCGTATGTTTCGTATATATTATTGTAAAATTAAATGAACAAAAGGCATTCATGAAATATTCGTTGATTGATGTGCGTCGAGACACGTAAACAGTATACTGGAGCGTTTCTCAAGAAATAACCTTACAGTTTAACAGCATGGGGCAGTAATGCCGGTACTGGGCAAGCGCAGTAACCGATTTCTGCTAGGGCGAAACGGTCGCAAGCTCTCAGTTCCCACATCCAGGGTTGTTATAACCCTGGATTCTATATATTGTATAAATTTAATCTGGTGTAAGGAATTAAATTATGGTCAAGTGCCGCAAAAACAGATTTTCTCAACTCGGTTATTATTGGCATGAATATTTGGAGGCCCAACAGATGTTAAGCTGATCTCGGAACAACTAAGGAGGAACCTAGTCACTGGCTGCTATTTTCAAATGTGTTTCATAAGATATATCTTAAAAATATATTTGGGTTTACTCTTTCGAGCGGGACTGAATAAAGAAAAAAAATATATATCGCTATCGTTTTGAAAGTCTAGTGGAAATACAAAGGGAAGCCTCTTTTCCGAAAAACATTATATGCACACCAGGCCTGTCCTTGTAGAAGATTATTTATGCCTTCAACCTATTCAAAATATATTATATATTTATCAAACTTATAAAAATATTTGTAGCCAATGGCGTAGTGTAGTTTGTGAAGGACACTGACAAGAGGGAAAACACCTGGTAAAAATACAATGCTATTGCCGAGTGTTATAAGTTTTATATTTTTTACCACAATACAATTTACTAGATCGATTGCATAGAACGTACGGCACACAAATCAGTGGTGTACTTTTTAATGAATAAAATAAACATATATATATATATATATATATATATATATGTATATACATAATGGTATCACTTAGATTGCGCATAATTTGAAAATCCCCTATTTAAAGTAAATCAAGCGTTATATAGAGGTTTGGAATCGTTTTTTTTTTACCGAAAAAATAAACTACGAATCACAGAACACTTAATCTCCGCCCGACAGTAGCGCTAAAGGTTCGAACCAAAAGCCAAAGTTTCACCGCGAACCGATATTTTATTAGAAATTTAGAAATATATTTCTGAAAATGTCAATGGAAAAATGATGCCCGCCGGTGCTCTCCAATGCATGGTGCTCTGTGGCACCAGAAACCGAAAACCAGCCGAAAATGGGTTCCAATTTTTCATTAAAATTTTCTGATAATCTTTTATAACTTTTGAATTAAATATCGGTTTGTGCTTAAAGTTTGGTATCTCGTTCGGACCTCGAGCGCTAGCTTTCGGCGTAGAATGAACGTTTGGCCATGCATAGTTTTTTTTTTGCAGTTATAAACACCCTGTAAATTGTTTTTTAACACCCTTTACATGACCACAACGATTAATAAAAAACACCAAAATATCAGACCACAACGATTAATAAAAAACACCAAATTATCAGAGTAAATGTAAAACCTCACCCAATACCAACGTTGTCCCGGTCAACCCCATAGTTGGTGTACTGATCTCAAGAATAATGCAGTGCTTATGACCACTGCAGTCGGATGTTATATAGTCACAGAAATTTTTAATGCTGTTTCTATTCTTTTTTTTTACTTCTCAAACATCGGCCATTGTACCAATTGTTCTGTTTTTTTCCTTCCTGATTACGTAGCAATTTCTTTCTTTTTTACAATCGCATTTCCACATTTATGTGTCAAGATGCTTAAACGGCATTTCCAGGATGACGTATACACATGTCAATTACTCTCTCAACAAACGTTAACCCTGTCTGGAGAAAATACTGCGGACTTTTAACTTTTCGTTTGAATTTTAACACCCTCGGGGAGTGATAAACACGGTTGTCGTATTACATCTGGATGAAAATGTGATCGGCGGATGTATTTATTATAGGTCGTCCTCAATAAACAAAACATATTTATGGTTGTCACTGAAACATGTATAAGGTACTTTATTTGGGGGATTCTGTTTCGTGATAAAATTGGATTATATCCTGTTGAATATTGTATTTATTAAAACTTATTTTAAGTGTATAAAGACCGATACATGGTGACGTTGAAAAATCTAAGTGATTTAATCACTAAAAGAATGGACATCGTTGTGCAATCTTATAGCGTATTATGTAATTATTTGAAACCAAATGCTCTTTTTGTTTTGAACGGCTCTTATTGTTGCCTCCAGTATATACACTGAAATTGAGGACAGGATAGTCTCGACCGTTAGATGATAGAAATGTGAAAAATGTTTAAAGCTTGTTGTTTTTTGACATATACGTAATACAATTTAATATCCAAAATATTCTAAACAGCCTTCAGGAGTCAGCATTATCTATCTGCTTCGGATAATACAAGGAATTCTAAATGTTGAATGATAAAATGGGGTCATTTTTGGAGCATAAGTGATTGGTCTTTTTTATAGAAGCATTCACGCACCGCTAGTTTTTTATTCTTTTTTTTTTCGAAAGTATTTTGATTTGATAAAGTGTTGTCTTAAGTTTTGGTCTGTTATCCCAACTGCAGATTCTACATAAGACCGAATGAGTATTCAGCGAAGATGCAGTTCACCTTTGCAATGAAAAAAGCGCTGGTCGGCTCTCAACAAACCCTCCCTAGAGGCGTCTTTTTATTAATTGTCCAAACTTTGACTTGTTTTTAGATAATTCAGACAATATTCTTTATGAAAACCCAATATGTGTGAGCTTCAGTGAATTAAGCAGGCATCAATATTGATAATCAGCAATTGTAAATCAGTGACTTGCTAGCTTAGAGATATTATTCAGGGTGTTTATGATTTGAACTCCTTTTGCGCGTTACATGAACAAAGGAGTAGTCGACTAGGGTCAAATATTGAAGCAGTATAAATATTTTAACAAAGTGATCTAATAAGGACGTTTGGCCTTGCATGTGAATGCGGCTATGCAAGTTTGTATTGTCTACAGTCATCATTAGATATCAGGGTTGAGTTGACGCAATACAGACTACTTTTCAGCTCATAACGAGAGGCTTGCTTGTTTCTGTGGAAAAGGCAGAGGTAAATGTATGAATAATAATTTGCTTAAAATTAAAATAAAATGCAGTTTCCAAAACGGCACAAGCAGTGTCCTTTGTAAGGATTTTAATCCTAGGCGTATTAAAAATCACTTTTTTTTAAATAAGATGTGGTTCCTTTTCTTTTTGCGGTTTGTGCGAATTTTGCATTTTAAACATATTGCCTGTGCTATATCCACCTTGTACCCACTATAGTGCTAAATTATAGTTCTGATTCAGAATAATCGTACAAAAAGGCTTTATGGAAATATAGTGTAAAAATGGGAAAAGTGTGCTTATTATTTGTCGACAACCAATTAACAAAGCTAAGATGCGAGTAACAACTACAAAAAGGGCCTGCGCTTATGCAGGGCTTTATTGCAGGCTACGTCTAAATATGAAATAGTTTTGACCGTTTTTCTATGACGGACATTTTCCGATAATTAAGTTGTGAAGTTCTCTGTTCATCTCTATCGGCACTCAGATATATCCGAACAACCCCCTTTCCTTATCTTTCTCTAGACATACGTGGCCATAACAAATGCTATAGCATTAAAAAATAAACTTTCAGACCCATTTTGGTGTTATGAGTTTCGTGTCATACTATATAGGATATGTTTCTCTGTGCAACCAAACACTAATTAGGTTGAAGCACTATAATATATCAAATATCAATGCCTCTAAAATATTCTCTCAAAACACATATAATTCGAGGTATATTACACTTTGCTAAAAGTGAATCCATATTAGGGAATGAGATCTATAACACCTTATATGTTTCAACGTTGCATCTAAGTTAACGTCTATGTCACCTTCTATTGTATCCTATAGAAGGCGTAATTGTTCTTGCGTGGGAACACATGAAAGACAGCGGCAGTTCACGGAGCAAATAGCTTCATATTTTATTCAGTTGTGAGAAGACATGTATCAATTTTGGGAATGTCTTACCACGCTACGTGTGTAGAAAAAGACGCAAGCGTAATAAATTCACTCGTTTTGTGTTCAGTCAAATAAAGCGGAAGCTCTGAGCCGTCAGAGCTTCACTATAAATATTCCATGCAGTACGCTTGCTAAATTTCTTATTGCGCCAATTTGGCAATCATATTGGTCAAAATTAGGCCTAATAAGGTTTTGCTCCACCGCGTTACCTGGTCCGTAAATTACCTTTGGCGTTTCTATCGTGGCGCTTCTTTCTTCGGCACATAATTGTCGAAGGGCTAGGTATGAATCAAAGATCAGTGGCATACCTTCGGTGCGGCATAGGGTGGGAGGGAACATTCCCCGGGAGCCACATAAGGAGGGGGGGGGGGGGGCACCTGCCGACGAGTTTCTGAGGGGGAGGCCTGGATTAAGACAAGAAAAAGGGCACCGTGGGACGATAGCAGAGCGCTCTCCTCGTGCCGAAGAACGGCGGCCACCCGTGTGGCAAAGCATAGGTGTGCCAGAGCGCAGGACGACAGCCAGTCGCAAGGGGCGCTCCCAACTCCCTCTACACAGGGCGGTGGACGGGGGGGGGGGGGGGGGGGGGGGCGAGAGTGGGAGGCGTTTGCCTCGCCGTAAGGAAAGGAGATTGGACTGACGTAGTAGCAGCGGGGTAATACTCAAATTAGGAATGTTCTTTCTTTTCTTTTTTCTTTTTCATTTCGGGCACATGGCACCACTAAAACTGAATATAACACAACTATGTCAATGATATGAGGCTTTTGAAGCATTTACTTTTGTTCAAACTGCAATATTTATGAGATACAGCATTAGATTGAGCACATATTGGAAAATCTTGCCAACGTATTACAGTGCTCTCAGCTGTGCGTCACGGCTTAGTGCCCATGGCCGCCTCACCGCGGCTGCAAATCGCGAAAGATTACCGTTCTTTGCGTTGCTATTACGCAACGGAATCGCAATATTTAAAAATGATGAGGCAGTTTTTTTTTTCAACCCTTTTGGTAAGATAATCAATGTAAACATTAAAAGCTTAATTTGTTTTGAAGCTTAAAATCGTTGCATCTCTTCTTTAGGGAGAATATAAGCATTGTACCACGTAATATCGAAAATAAACGATTTACAGGAGCCACATTTTCAACATTTATGACAGGGGGCCAAACCGGCTCGAGCAGGCGCGTAAGGCGCTTTAAAAATATCATATTCGAGCTACTTTCTGCCCTCTGTTACGCCCACGCTTCCGCGTCCGCCCAACGTACATTATTTTCGTAAACTAGAAAAACGTTGACCTCGTCTCGGCGTAATTGTTAAGCATGACAATCATTTGGGCAAGAGTTCTGAGAAATGGCACCGTGAGTGTCTTTTTCCCTCATCGTCCGCTTCTGCACGGACGCTGAACGCACTTCGGAGCCTGTTCAAGCTCTTGGAAAACTAGGTTTGAATTCCTTTCGATCGGGGATGAACCTAACGCATCACTGAAATGGCCGTGTAACTACCAGTTTAATCGAATGTGCCAGTTTTTGCAGTGCTGAACTAGTCCATCCAGTTCAGGCGAAGCGAACGGAAATATTTGAGGGCACTGCTTAGAGCGCATGCTCAGAACAAGCTCTCATAAATAGATTGCTAAGTCTGGCAATATTAATATAGTAGACTACACGTCGCAAAAAAAAAAATGTAGGAGCTCGTCATTATTACGGGATCAGCAGTTGTGCACACAGCTATATCCGTCTGTAAATACTCCCTATTGACGCTTTGCACACGCGCCAGGTTAGATCCGCCGTTGCTGACTTGCTTTTGTTTTACCGAGATACCGAGCACCAAAAACGGGCGTTGACAAGGCTGCACAAAGGACAAGGCTAGCTAGAGAGAAGGACACAGTAGAATCTGCAATGGCAGTGAGCTGGCCTCCTATGGCAAGGATGGAGTAAAATAAATGGAATTAGAGGAAAAGAAAAAAAAAAACCACTTAAGGTATGTTATGGCTGCGCCCATTCACTGCTGCTGCAAAGCGTCTATAGTTACACAGACATGACGTAAAAAATAGACTCCGTTTTATAAAAGAATTTAAAAAAAATTGGGGTGTGCGTATATTTATACACCCTAGAATTTGGTCTGCCTTAACAGGCGGTTTGTCTCCCAACTGTAGATGAGAAATTTAGCCGGTGCAGTACAACCGCTGGCCTGGGGTCTTTAACGTGCATCCCGCAGTAGTGATACACGACCACACGCCAATATGATCGAAACGGGCAGGGGTGGGGATTGAACCCAGTAGCCCTGGGACCTGCAGCGCAAGCTGTCGCTCCACGTGCTCCGAACTGGTATGCGCTAGTCCACTCGGCCACCGATCCCCCTCCCTCTTTTTATTCTAGTATAGAACCTAGTCAAAACTACCGGCGAAGGCACATGGCCCAACCTATAGGGTTTCGTTTGCGCGGGAACGCGTGCAAGTGATCTACGAGATCAAACCCCATGCTTGCGCCAACAGGTACGACAGCGTTGTATACTAAGTATGAAACACTACAACAA